ACATATTACATGGATGAAGGGAATTCTTCTTGTCTACGCTTCGATCTGTTCCGGGTAGTTATGGATGGACAGACCACGCCTTCCTTTGATCCTTACCATCATTGTAACGAGCTAAGTACCACAACAAAGGTAACAAATGACAATGGCGACGAGCCGACACTCCAACATTAAACGATTTCAATTGATAACTTAATAGATCACGTGATGTCATAAACCATTTCACCGTTAATACGGCCGATATAAAAGTTCGTGGGGAATCTTTTAGTGTCATCTCCTATCATCTCCCTCTTCTGTATTTACGGATCTACAGTCTTAATCGCTCAATCCTTAGAATTTCCGATGACGTTTTCCGCACCATTTCTCTTAGCTGTATCCCGTATATTGCGGTATACGAGGAGGGACAGGTTAAAAGGGGACCAAATAGACATCTTAACAATTCCTCATTAAATATTCATTGTCACTGACGATAGACATGAAGCGACCGCGATAACGACAGCAATGAAGCAATTTGTCTAAGACAATGGAGCCGGGCCATCGCGTTTGTCCCTTTGAAGCCAGGCGGCACGAGAACGTAGCACCTGCTCAGCGAGCACATTAAGCCGGAAATAGATTCCGTGACTTTTAAAGTTGAACATTTCCGAAATGGAAAGTGTCGAGATAATTCATAATCTATACGAGTTACGTGGCGAGATGGGTGTTACGGTGAGATGTGTGGCCGATAGCTGAACACGCGGAAGCTGGAGGCGCACGCTAATGAAGATGTCCTGAGTCGCTAAAGTAATTTGTTATACAAGGAAATAGGAAATTGTCATTTTCAACCATTTTCAAAGCAATTGTAGGATTCTAAGGTTGGTACCATCATTAAGATGCTTATTATAGAAATAAGTTAAAATATGTCCTAAACATGTATCGTAGTAACAAATTATACTATTAAAGAAAATGAAATAATGTTTGATTTCGATTTAATTTCGAACGTTTTTACTGATAAAATCGACGGATGCATGCCTGAGTTTTATTCTCTTGATCTCTATCATGATAAATTCCCATCTGAATCTTAATAAAGAAATCGATTTGTACGATTCGCTAACTACAAACAGGTGTTCTTTTTAACATGAATAACAACATTAATATCAAACTGTTCTCATTATCAGTAATGATCAGATACTGACAATTTTAAGACAAAAAAAAAAATCAATATTTTTACCTCAAAATAAGATTCCTTACAAATGTCATGTCTATGAGGATTTCTATGTGTGTTAAATTTTTGTACAAGGAAAAGTTAGTTTGAAACCCTCAAAAAATGGATGATTTATAATATCGAGCATTGTTTTGTTAACACTGTGCAAATTCAAACCAGACTTTTAGGCCGGTCTGTATATAGCTAATCACTTCATGTCTATGTTTCATTAAATGTTCTGATTAAAAAGATTTAATCTTTTTATCAGGAAAGGAAACAATTAAATAAAACGATTAGCAAATCAAAAGACGAAATGGCATGATTGTAATTATATTGAGCAATTAATAGGTGAACCGCACGTGTCAGGTAATGGATGAAGTGGGCGTGGCTTCCGTTTCCAAGACAAGGGCACCCTGATGATTGACGGTTCAGCATCCGGAGCTAATGGCATCCCGGGTTTATTGGAATTTCCGATGAGTTGATCTGGAGTCGGAAGCAGAGGTTGTAGGAAGTCCCCGGGCTAAAGGTAAGGAAGTTAACACTCAATTAATGGACAAACTTCCTCAGGTAACATATAGCTGCATCTTGTTTCTACGGAAACGTGCACTATAGATTTCGATATATCTAAATATATATTTATATAATATTATGTACAACGTTTTAATTGATATCATTATTTAGATTAGTCATTGATAACAATGAAAATGCAAATGGTCTATTGATGATTTGGTAGCAATTAACGACCTATCTAACGAGGAGAGAGCATTTTTTATTTTTATTTTTGATTTGTTTTGATATTCTTGTTATAATAAAAGCTCTGATTTTACAAAATGAATATAAAACGAAAATTAAAATGATACGTATTTTACACAAACATTCATCGTCATCACATGGTTTTAATTATTTAGGTGAGAATATTGTCACTAACCGATTCTACTTAGGTTGAGTGATTTATTTCTAACTGTAACTTAATTTGGTGAGAGTATTTAAAGGAATTCCGATGGGGTTTGTCATCTTGGATTAGATTTAATGGGTCCTTGTTGTTATATATTATCTTTATTTGTTTATGTTTTGTGTCATCTAGAGAGTCATCTACAATGCGAGTAATTCAATTGTAGTAAAATATTAGATATAATCAAAATGTTCACGTTTTTGGTTGTAAATATTAACAAAAAAATATTATTAATAAAAACGGTCAAATTTTCTTTTTAAAGAAAATCAGTGTACATGTCGAAAAATAATTAGATTTGATCTCGAAAGTTTAAACTATTTTAAAGATTTGATAAAGATAACTTTTCATTACTCATATAAATGTACCTGTAAACGTCACAGGAATCTAATCACCTATCTCACCAAGCTTCTTTCAAACTCGTTCAAAAATAGATTAAATAAACACTGGGCAAATCAAGAACTGGTATATAATTATAAAGCAGAAATTCTGTAGTTCCTGGATCTGACGTCTCAAATGACAATAATTATAAACATTATCATTGTATCACTGAGACCGGTATAGAGGATCGTAACGATCCTGCACTGGTAATAAACTAAACTAAACTAAACTAAAGCTTCTGTATGTTTGTATGAAAATTCCGTCTTGATCAACATTCTTCATATCATTCCTTACATGTACATACAATCATCTATATTTTCGAAAATATGCTGAGCTTGAACCAAAATGTCAACATAATTCAAGCTCAGATTCCATTAGATATTAAATGATATTATAACATGTAACGGCGGAATCATGTTGAACATCACACCTTCTTGTATACAGATAGCCGTTCTGACAATACATTAAACAAGGATTATACAATATCTTCTGTTTCCAAGAAAATAGATCTTCCAAACACCGGGGAAATAAATTCGAAATGATTTGATTCGTACCATAACAATATCTTCTACACTCTGCTTACGAAATACGTGACTCATGTTCAGAAAATAGTGATCATTTGTTTTATTAACTGCGGTCAAGTGTTTGTGTTGTATGTGACATTTTCGGATCGTAACAAGAGCCTGTTGATACTTTTCGGAACAATTATCCTGACACTTATAAATAGGAATATATGTATTGTTGGTATGCTACTTTATTTGTTTATTGTTTCATATGATCAGTTTCAGTCACGTGATAGCTTGATTGTTAAACAAACATTAACTATCAACAAAACATCCAATGAGAGTAATCATTAAAGTACAAAGTGGGATTTGTGAAAACGTGTAAAAATATATAATTAGATGTACTTTGAATAATGATATATGGAATGAACATTTTCAAAACTGTTTTAATTACTTTTTTCCGGGACCTTTATGTTTGGTTCTTCAAAGCAAAAATTGACAGGAATTAATTTTAAGACTTTCTGTTTTTCCCAAAATTCCGCCAAAAATAGTTTTAATATTTTTTTTTTAATTGGGGTATATATATATAGAAGCACGGAAATATCTGTAATGCTGTTCTCCTGTAGTAACATATCGTAAATATCACTGAAGTATGTACAGTAAATCTACTCTTCTCCATCTTAAATTCGATTTTAATTTGTCTCAAACTTGGAAATCTCTATAAATAAAACTGGGAGAGAACGTGCTCGGAGTGAGTTGATACTTTGTTTCCTTTGTCGGTAGGTTTAAATGTGTTTGGTTAGAACTGATAATCACTACGTGTTTACATCCTTAACAACGGTGGCTTTATTATTGACGTAAGAAAACAGTCGATAAAAGGTCAATTTCAAGTCTGTATTTCTACAAACGTTTCATTTATTTTTTTACTTAAGTTATAGGATTCTTAATCAAAAGAGAAACATACTTTATAAATGTTTGAGAATATCTAATCGCTAATGCTACCAATAGCAGGACAAACGTATGTATCTCCGTGTCACGATATTGTATAGTTTACAAACATATACGTGCTAATTAAAATATCAATATTGGTAGTTATTGACGAAAACGAATATAATTCGGTCAACAAAGGATGTCGGACAGATATTGAAGATTAACCCAAAATTTCACTTTTGATCACAAATTACCGTGTGGAAAATTGCCATTGTAAGTAGTTCATTTTTTGAAGAAGATGTTTATGATTTCAACTAATTCTAATAACAGCGCCACTAGGGCTCATTGTTATGACGGCGTACCATGTTTCAATTAAACGATACAACATCGCCGTCGAAAGCAAGAATTAATTTGTACATATGTGTAGCTATGGAAACAAGGGTTAGTAATCAAATTAGCAGGACATGAACAGGTAAGTGGTAAAAGATCGTAAACAAGATCTTCCAGTGTGAAAGTAACCTTGACTCAATAACGATATCCAATATAAAACTGTCTATGTTAATGTTATCAGTTTAGAATTAACTCGTGCTACGTAAAGACTAAGATCACGTGGTCTTTATGCCTCGCTTCGGTTCTAGTGATGGAAAGTGTGAACATGGCTTTAAACTTTGGTTGTGAGAGATATGTTAATATAGCGATGAAAAGTTGCTCATATAACGAGATAAACTATGAATAATATAGATATATTGGTATGCACTGCTTTTCGGCATGTTTAGGTTTTCCAGACGTGAATATTGAAAAAAAGTAACTAGCTGTCCCTTTCACTCATCACTTGACCGTTGAAATGAAAAATATTAACAATGTTACTTTAAATGATTGTGATTTTTTTCAGTTTTTAAAAATTGAATACACTGCGCCGAATACGGTCTGTACTCAAACCACGATAAAAGAAGATTTCGGCAGAGTGTGATATGATTACTAGTATAACCATTAGAACGTTCTCATTTCAATCATTATGTTTATTCAACCTTTACTTTTACAGAGTAGCTTGCATACTACAATGGACCAGGCTATTTATTCTCCCGGAAGTCCATCCGTACAGTTTCCGGTTTACTCCTTGTATCCCAACTTGCAGCAAGGATCATCGCTGCAGCCACTTCCACCTAAAACACTTGGCGCGGAACCAGTGTGTTATATACCAAATGCTTCTCGACAAGATTACATCGCTAAAACTAGGATGAAATATGTGCCCAGTAAAACGTTCTGGAATGAAGGATCTAATAATGAAGTTCCTACCATGAGAATGTTCCCACGTGACACTTGGTCATGTGACCAGTCCTACACTCCAACGGGTCACGTGAGTCAGCAAGCAAAAATGAAATGTAGACCCGGAGCTTTACCGTCATATATACCAACAGGTCAGTAAAATGTGTATCTTAAGCAAGTTGACAACATTTTGAAATTTTTGTCGAAAACTTTTTTATCAAAATATATCTCTTAAACATTCGTCATCAAGTACAAACTCATTAGAAAAGGTAGTCAAATGTGGGTAGCAAATAGCATCAACTCTCGTTTGTCACAGTCGGATGGCGTTCACCTTAAATACAATCCGTAGTCGTAATAAAATCAGTCACGATTAAATACAGTGTCCTGTAAGTTAGGACAACACCTATCAACATATAACCTTCTAACCTTGTTTTCTATTTATTAAAGAAGGTCGGTATACATCCTCAATACAATACATCACTTTTCTATTTTTCACAATGTGCCGATGTGATAAAAGTAGATCGATTCCCTAGTTTCATTATCTTAAGATATATATATTTTGATATATTTTCATTTCAAATTTCTGATACATATTGCGATGAAACACATTTGACCTGACAACCAATCATTGTAACGCCTTTCATTACTGAGATATAACTGTTAAAAAGAGTTCTTAAATGTTTTCTTTTTACTTCATTATGCAACTTTTTAAGCCCTTGCATCACTGACGAGTCCTAGATGGACGAAACGGCTGTATGATGCAGTTTTATTCATTATTTAGCTCAACTGCATCTACCTCTAAAGTTGTATCAAAAGGTGTTGTTCACTCGTGTATCTTTTGTATAAATATTTTCCAAATCTTCCAATATCTCCTTTTCGGGAAAAAAACCCCGAGAAAGATCTTGAACGACTTAATTTTGTATGTATGGATTACACTTTTATAGTAAGATTTGTAAATTAAAGATTTGACTGTATTGCCTAAGTCTTCAGTATCTGCCGCCAGTGTTGACGACAATGCGTTGATTCTATATACTTGGGTTAACTAGGTTCCGACATCATTCCTTCTATAAAACAATAGGAAAGCACGTGTGCCTTGATTAAACATCAATCAGCCTTTTGTGATATTATCTCTTGTTTTTGTTTTTTGTTTTGTAGCGCGTGATGATAGTTAATCTTATACTTCTCTGCATTGAAAATTTTACTTAAGAAATAATCGGTATGAAGAGTCAAGAAGATTATTCGGAATTTTTTTTATTCTTTAAGCATTATTATTGTCTTTTCGAATACAGGTGACTCCATTTAAGGAGATAGATGGAATCAAACTAGTAGGAACATTTTTTCACCTAATTAGTAGAAAAAATATCTTAATGACTCGATTGCGTGCAAGACAATTCTGATCGATTTGTAGTATGAGTTCAATATTCCTAGGATACAAAAAATCTTCCAGAGCAAATTGTTCCATTCCAAAAGACATTTAATAAGTTTGATGCTTTCATTTGATTTCCTTCCAAGCTAAACCACCATTGATTGCATTCGATCACGTATGACTCTCGGTTATTGATGGGGCACGTGTCCAAAGTCACGTGACTATTATGACATGAAGGCATAACTATTACTTTGATTTTCAACATTTAAAAACAAATGGAATATCTTAATTGTGATACAATTTCATGCAAAAAAGTCGGCTCAAATAGATTTTGAATCGACTATGAACATACAATGTGGTTTCTATTCAGAAGTCCACGTGCTTGTATTGTCGATAAAGGTAGAATTTGGACCTCAGGAAGACGTGTTTATTATTTTTGGGAACAATACACAAAATTTGATTTCCTGAACACCACTTAAGAGGACACTTTGACCTGTTCAAAACTAGCTAAGTCTTCTTCAATATGCATTTTCTAAAAAAAAATACTGTGGTCTGTCCTAAACGTCCTAAATAGAATACTGTGGTCTCTACAATACTTCCTTAATGGAATACTTTGGTCTGTCCAATACTTCCTAAATATAACGCTGCTGTCTGTCCTATACATCCTAAATTAAATACTGTGGTCAGTCCTATACATCCTAAATAAAAAAAACTGTGATCTGTCCTATACATCCTAAATAAAATACTGTGGTCTGTACAATACTTCCTAAATAGAATACTGTTGTCTGTCCAATACTTCCTAAATAGAATACTGTGGTCTGTACAATACTTCCTAAATAGAATACTGTGGTCTGTACAATACTTCCTAAATAGAATACTGTTGTCTCTCTTATATGTCCTAAATAGAATACTTTGGTCTGTCCGATACGTCTGAAAAAGAATACTGTGGTCTGTACAATACTTCCTAAATAGAATACTGTTGTCTCTCTTATATGTCCTAAATAGAATACTTTGGTCTGTCCGATACGTCTGAAAAAGAATACTGTGGTCTGTACAATATTTCCTTAATAAAATACTGTTGTCTGTCTTATATGTCCTAAATAGAATACTTTGGTCTGTCCGATACGTCTGAAAAAGAATACTGTGGTCTGTACAATATTTCCTTAATAAAATACTGTGGTCTGTCCTATACTTTATCAATAGAATAATGTGGTCTGTCCTATACGTCCTAACTAGAATACTGTGGTCTGTACAATACTTCCTAAATAGAATACTGTGGTCTGTACAATACTTCCTAAATAGAATACTCTCCTTGTACAATATTTCCAAAATAGAATACTGTGGTCTGTAAAATATTTCCTAACTAGAATACTGTGGTCTGTACAATACTTCCTAAATAGAATACTGTGGTCTGTCCTATACGTACTAAACAGAATAATGCTGTCAGTACAATACTTCCTAACTAGAATACTGTGGTCTGTCCTTTACTTCCTAACTAGAATACTGTGGTCTGTACAATACTTCCTAAATAGAATACTGTGGTCTGTACAATATTTCCAAAATAGAATACTGTGGTCTGTCCTATACGTCCTAAACAGAATAATGCTGTCAGTACAATACTTCCTAAATAGAATACTGTGGTCTGTACAATACTTCCTAACTAGAATACTGTGGTCTGTACAATACTTCCTAACTAGAATACTGTGGTCTGTACAATACTTCCTAAATAGAATACTGTGGTCTGTACAATACTTCCTAACTAGAATACTGTGGTCTGTACAATACTTCCTAAATAGAATACTGTGGTCTGTACAATACTTCCTAAATAGAATACTGTGGTCTGTGAAATACTTCCTAACTAGAATACTGTGGTCTGTACAACACTTCCTAAATAGAATACTGTGGTCTGTACAATACTTCCTAAATAGAATACTGTGGTCTGTACAATACTTCCTAAATAGAATACTGTGGTCTGTACAATACTTCCTAACTAGAATACTGTGGTCTGTCCTATACGTCCTAAACAGAATAATGCTGTCAGTACAATACTTCCTAACTAGAATACTGTGGTCTGTAAAATATTTCCTAACTAGAATACTGTGGTCTGTACAATACTTCCTAACTAGAATACTGTGGTCTGTCCTATACTTCCTAACTAGAATACTGTGGTCTGTACAATACTTCCTAAATAGAATACTGTGGTCTGTCCTATACTTCCTAACTAGAATACTGTGGTCTGTACAATACTTCCTAAATAGAATACTGTGGTCTGTACAATACTTCCTAACTAGAATACTGTGGTCTGTCCTATACTTCCTAAATAGAATACTGTGGTCTGTACAATACTTCCTAAATAGAATACTGTGGTCTATACAATACTTCCTAACTAGAATGCTTTGATATCCTTAATACTTCCTCAGTAAAGTACTAATATCTTAAACACTTCTCAGAAGAATGCTTTAATATGTCAAATATAATGTACTTTCTTAGTAAAATACTTTGATATTGTCATTGCTTCCAAAGTGGAATACATTGATCTTATCAATACTGATCATCAAGTGAAACAAGAGGTCTGTAAATATTTCCTCAACAAACATCTCACTTGAATACTTCATGAGTAGAATATTTGATTTCTTCAATACATTTGATGTAAGAACAGTTGGTCTCTCAAATGATTCCTAAGTAGAATACTTCGTGTTCTTTACTGCTTCTTTGATTGGATACAAAGGCCCTTGACTCTACAACACCAACAGCTGCATTTCAGAACCATTTTCTATGTTTGTTTTGTAATCAATCATTCATTGATCAGCTAAAATCACCCCCAATCCTTTTTGGACTTGATACAGATTTAACACCATTTTAAAGAAACCTTTCGTGAGCCTCGTTTAGTGACGCGGATATATATAATGACTGAGAGCAGGTGAAAGCGACCGAGGTTTACCGCCGCCGGGACTCGGCACGCCATACATCAGAACAGGACTGGTCCCTGACGTGCCGTCGTCTAGCCAGTACTCCCCACGAGGTATTCCAATACATTCCACTCTGGTTCAACACGTACGTTACTAGCAGGTTGTCACCAAATGTAGCCCGGAAACGGCTACGTCCACGATAGGATTGCCCTTTCTGACCTTCATGGACACCATGCGACCTTTATTGATAAGTGATGGTTTCACCGTGTGTAACTTTCAGATATATAAATATTAATGCCCCTGACCCCTCCACTATGGACGCCGAGTTGAACTCACATGTATAACCTTTGACCTTCCTTGCATTACATTGCTTGGTATTGCTTGTGTCTCCTTAAACAGAATAGACCAATAGAAGTGGCGATATTGTGACATGCTCGTAAAATCTATGGTATTTAACGGGAATCTACTGAATGTCCCCTTTTAATGTGGTGAAGACAATGTGGCGGTTTTTCTGAAGCAACTAGCAGGTCGATTTGAATTATCAAGTGTTAATCAGTAGATACAAAATAATCAACTTGATGTCGTACACAAATAAATACCAACAAGTATATAGTACTGAATAATGCAGTATGTTAGTACATCTACAATGTACATACAATACTTCCTTAGAAACCCTTAAATTTTATTCATATACGTTTTCCCCCTTTCATTTGATACCATTTCTCAATATTGATAGGATTCAAATGACATGAACGTTTAAAAAATATTTAAAAATAACTAAATGAAATGATATCGCTGTAGGTAATTGCTTTCTCTATGCTGAGCTGTCATTGAAAAAAAGGAGGTCGTCTTTAAGTACTTATAATCAATAACGTAAATATTTATTGTGATATTTATTCACTTTCAGATATCTACTGGCGTGCAAGGTTTTTTTCTCCATTTATTTTTCAATGAACATTTGAATGCTACGCCGCTGGAACTGTAGAGAGAGAGAGAGGGAGGGGGAGAAAAAAGGGGGAGGAAAGAGAGAGAGAGGGAAAGAGAGAAAAAGTTAGAGAAAGGAGAGAGGGGGGAGGGAGGGAGAGCGAGAGAGAAACTTAATACAGCCATGCTCATTAAGTATAAAAAGATTTATGCTGCTTGTAGATCCGTTGCTATGGAGGACCGAGGATGTCCGGAAATGGCTAGAATGGATTATTCACGAGTACAACATGAAACAAGTAAACATGGACTACTTCCGGTGTCTTGACGGAAAACATCTCTGCTGCCTTACACGTGACCTATGGTGTAAACTTGTTGGTCATCAGCACGCAGATGTCTTTATGGAAAGTATCCGCTACCTGAGACAGAGTAAGTATCAAGGTCAAACACCCACTCCCTCAGTAATTATCAAGGTCATACATCCACTCCCTCAGTAATTATCAAGGTCATACATCCACTACCTCAGATAAAGTAATTATCCGAGTCATACATCCACTCCCTCAGAGTAATTATCCAGTCCATACATCCTCTAACTCAGATAGAGTAATTCTCAAGGCCATACATCCACTCCCTCAGATAGAGTAATTATCCAGGTCATACATCCACTCCCTCAGCTAGAGTAATTATCCAGGTCATACATCCACTCCCTCAGAGTAATTATCCAGGTCATACATCCACTCCCTCAGATAGAGTAATTATCCAGGTCATACATCCACTCCCTCAGAGTAATTATCTAGGTCATACATCCACTCCCTCAGATAGAGTCATTATCCAGGTCATACATCCTCTCCCTCAGATAGAGTAATTATCCAGGTCATACATCCACTCCCTCAGAGTAATTATCTAGGTCATACATCCACTCCCTCAGATAGAGTAATTATCCAGGTCACACATCCACTCCCTCAGATAGAGTAATTATCAAGATCACACATCCACTCCCTCAGATAGAGTAATTAACAAGGTCATACATCCTCTCCCTCAGATAGAGTAATTATCCAGGCCATATATCCACTCCCTCAGAGTAATTATCTAGGTCATACATCCACTCCCTCAGATAGAGTAATTATCCAGGTCACACATCCACTCCCTCAGATAGAGTAATTATCCAGGTCATACATCCACTCCCTCAGATAGAGTAATTATCCAGGTCATACATCCACTCCCTCAGATAGAGTAATTATCCAGGTCATACATCCACTCCCTCAGCTAGAGTAATTATCCAGGTCATACATCCACTCCCTCAGATAGAGTAATTATCCAGGTCATACATCCACTCCCTCAGACAGAGTAATTATCCAGGCCATACATCCACTCCCTCAGAGTAATTATCCAGGTCATACATCCACTCCCTCAGATAGAGTAATTATCTAGGCCATACATCCACTCCCTCAGAGTAATTATCCAGGCCATACATCCACTCCCTCAGAGAGAATAATTATCCAGGTCACACATCCACTCCCTCAGATAGAGTAATTATCTAGGTCATACATCCACACATCAGGTCACATCCACTCCCTCAGAGTAATTATCAGATAGAGTAATTATCCAGGTCATACATCCACTCCCTCAGATAGAGTAATTATCCAGGTCATACATCCACTCCCTCAGAGTAATTATCCAGGTCATACATCCACTCCCTCAGATAGAGTAATTATCTAGGTCATACATCCACTCCCTCATACATCCACTCCCTCAGAGTAATTATCCAGGCCATACATCCACTCCCTCAGATAGAGTAATTATCCAGGTCATACATCCACTCCCTCAGAGTAATTATCCAGGTCATACATCCACTCCCTCAGATAGAGTAAGTATCTAGGTCATACATCCACTCCCTCAGATAGAGTAATTATCCAAGCCATACATCCACTCCCTCAGATAGAGTAATTATCCAGGTCATACATCCACTCCCTCAGAGTAATTATCTAGGCCATACATTCTTTACCTCAGAGTAATTATCCAGGTTAGATATCCTTAAATCATATACGTTTTCCCCCTTTCATTTGATACCATTTCTCAATATTGATAGGATTCAAATGACATGAACGTTTAAGAAACATTTCAAAAAAACTAAATGAAATGATATCGCTGTTGGTAATTACTTTCTTTATGCTGAACTGTCATTGGAAAAAGGGCGTCTTCTTTAAGTACTTATAATCAATGACGTAAATATTTATTGTGACATTTATTCACTTTCAGATAGAGTCTTCATACCGGAAGGCCCCGCCTACAAATCTAAACCAGAAGGTTACTGTACCCGGCCCACGTATAAACCGGGTACGTGCGAGTTCTGGCCTCAGCCGTACCGTGCGCCAACCCTCGACTTCCGGTCGGGTGCCGACAGTGGTACGTGCACGAGCTCTCTTAGTCGTCCTGGTTAAGGCCAAAAACAACTACGTAATCCGCTTATCGGGCTTAAATTTTTCGGTAATATTCACAACAAAGCCAAACAAAATTATATGTTTTCACCTTTTGTGATCTAACAAACGCGCCCACTACAGCACTGACGTATGTGTCTGTATCTGTAATGGTACGTCATAGCTTTGCAGCAGGGCTAAGATATTACGGAAGGAGATCGCCTTAATCACGGCTCCTTGCAAGGCCAGCTAGAAATTATTCGAGATGGCGCTGTCCTCCAGGCCCCAGTCCACTGTAGTGCGTACAAAGAAAGAATTTCTGAACTTTTCAGTTTTACCAGAAGGGGTGACTTTTGATTTACTAAAAGTCTAACTGATGATATAACAATATTGGATGTTTTACAATTATCATATGTTTTTGCCTTGAATTTACGTGTTTGGTTTTGCAAAGTAATTGAGTGGCAATTGGTAGTGTCGGTATCTGCCTTTCTACCACTTTATAGACGAATGCTAGACGTCGTAAAGCATCAATTCTGTCGTATCATTATATATTTGTCACCCACCAGTTGATTCCGTTGAAATGTTCGTCAATATATTGAAGTTTGTTTAGTAACTGACAGAACAGACGCACACGATTTGTATTGACGGATAAAACACCTCTGACTGACGCACAAAGCACATCTAACTGACGGGTAAAACATTGCTTCATCTAACAGTTGATATCGGCAGATGGTTTTTGGAGAAATGTTAAGATAATTATACCAGCTTTGGTGACATAGTCATTTCAGTATTTGTCAGTAAACGTAAATGGTCCAGTGGTTAAATAAGAATTTATTTTTTTAAGATACACAGGTAGGCAGGTTATATTTCTGTATACTAATCTAAATGGCTTTCCGGTATTAATTGATTAAGTTAGAAAACCCACCATATCCGCTTGATCACCAAGTAGGAATTATATACCAGAAAACACTAAATAACAACAACAATATTGGTTAAATCAAATCATTTTGATTCCATACGTCGTGTTTCTGTTTATTTCAGATCCATACAAAATATTCAGTAACGTGTGCCGGAAGTTATGTCACTCAGGTAAGTCGGAGTTAGCTCCCTTGTCTTACACTGAAACTTAATTCTTGCTTTTATCACTAATTAGATAAGATCGGGTACATGTATGCTTGAGTTATTTCCCTTTGATGTGAATATATGTATTTTATGTATAAACATTTGTGATACCTCTCTACTGGAGTGCTGAGTTTGATAGTTGTACATTGTAGGTATTAACAAAATGTTTATCCAAAAGTTAATGTATATTTAATTTCAATTATATAAGATATGTTATACAACATATATTTTATTTAGAAATTGCACCACATACTGTATAGACTACCTCAATTAATTTTCTCATTTAGGCTTTCTTTTAACGCAATGAATGTCCAATATTAGGGCTTGTCGGTCTTTCAGCGGACGAAATATCGGATATATAAGTTATAGTGCGTAGTCTTGTCTTCTCCAGGAACGAAATTTTGTCAAACTGTGAACACAATAAGGTGATTGAATGTGTCTTTCGAGAAATCGTAATGATCTTTCAGCAAATGATATCAGGTTTTTATTGCACGATGCAACCAATAATACCTTCTGAAGAACCGTTAGTGGATAAGATATAGTTCAACCTCTCAATACATTTCTCCACCTCGTCGAGCAGAGTATTTCTTTCCGCCATCGATCGCATATTCCAAGGTGCTCAAAATGACGCCTGGGTAGATTTGAGTTTTCTTTTTCATTCTGATATAGAAACGAGAGCTAGATTCTAAATGATATATAGTTTTCAGATAACTTGTATATTTTATAAGTTATCTGATATAAATCAAATAAGACACAAATGATAAATTAGATAAGATCTTGTGGCTTTTTGGTGAAACGAGGGTCTACACTCTACTTGGAATAAATGATCTATTGTCTTGTCATAATAAACAAATTCAGAATTTTGATAATTTGCTCTATAAGTCCTCATCATATGGTCCAGGTAGGGCCCGAAGAAAGAGGGACAATTTAAAAAATTATACACGGATTCCCATTACCTTCTGGTTCCGAACTCCACTGGTTTTGACTGGTGTGGTATAATGTAACGAACTTAATACCTTGTGACAGGAAATACACCAACGTAAATTTCTACATTTCTGTTGGATACAAAATGACATTTCCGGTTTGTTGTTCCACAGGTTCCGGTCAGATCCAGCTTTGGCAGTTCCTCTTAGAACTTCTGTCATCAAGTTCTAATGCTGACTGTATCACGTGGGACGGAACAGACGGCGAATTCAAGCTTGTAGACCCAGATGAAGTCGCGCGCAGATGGGGAGACCGCAAGTCAAAGCCAAATATGAATTATGATAAATTGAGTCGAGCCATCCGTTATTATTATGATAAACACATTATGAGCAAAATTCACGGGAAAAGATATACTTACAAATTTAATTTTAACAGTCTTTCTAATATACTACAAACACAGGAGTCAGACTTCGTAAACACTCAAGGATTTTTTACATCAAATGTGAACCAGCACAGAACTTCAAGGAGCTTACCTCAAGGATTTCTGGAATACACCGGCAAATTCATAAACTCACTACCTCATGGAAATCTCAACCAATCAGAAATAAATAACTGCTAGAGACATTTAAATGTTAATTCTGAAATAGTTTCACCTGTAATGTACGTTACCTCTCAGTACTACAATTAGATTAAACTAAACCTACTTCATCAGCAGGTCATAGGGTCATAGTGATCCTACCCAAATAGATAACCAGTTATGGTCTGCAACAATCATTGTTTTAAATGTTAACTTTGCACTTTATGACTGTTTTTACCAGAAATGTGTCCTTTTAAGATAGTTACAGGAAAAAAGAAAATCTGTTGGTAGAGCTTGACGTCATATTGTTCAATTATAACTGGCTATTTTTACATATATATTATGTTATATCTCCCAATACACGACTGATTGTGTCTTATTCATACTTGGCTGTAATTATGAAGTAAATTCCATCGAGTGCGGGAAACCTATTCCTTACATTGTCAGAATGATACCCATATATGTCAAGTTCATGTTTTCTCAAGAACTATTTCATTCAACTAAACTGTCGACACCAATACAACGTTAAGCTTATGTATGTGTCTTACTGAGTAGTATTACATATGGAATCACTTCATTCTTAAACACCTGTCTCAACTACAGTATTCCACCGTTATACAACTCGTTCCCTTGGTGATATCGTTAGTGACGACACAACAGGTAAATATTTTAATCCCATGAATGGAACTTTTATGTTTTTTCTGAATTCTAAATGATTTATCTGATGGGACAAAGCAATTTATCATTTGATAAGGAAAATTATTTATCTCGCGATTTTCAGCCTCGTAAGTAATACATAATTAAACATTGTCTTCAGGTTGGTTAATATATAAACTGTTCTTCTATATAGAAAATATGAATTTTCCTTCTGTTCACCAGAACGCCCTCGTTTTCTTGCAGTGAAAGCTTTCTTTTCCAAGAAAGGTGAACAGTGGTACAAGGAGATGAACTATACTGAAGCATATTTCGTGGAAAATAGTGAAAGAAGAAATACGAGGACGACATATAAAATGAGTTTCTGTTTGACGTTTTCATCGAGTTCAGTGGTAAGATCTATCAGCAGATTATTGCCATACCTATACGAAGTAAGTGTCCCTCTCATGGCGGACTTATTTTGGTTTTATACGAGGCTGCATTTATCGAATAGCTTATGAAAACAGTCCACAAACATCTTGCAAAGTCAACTGATTTCGCTTTCAGATTTATTAATGATTTCATGTCTGTAGATATCAAGAGTTTTAATGACCACGTCCGTCGTATATAACCTCCAGAATTGGAAATCAAGGAAACAATAGACTCTTTCACATAAATCATTCATCTCCATCTTCTACTACATACGTACATGGACAACTTACCAACACGCTGTATGATAAGCGCGATGATCTTAATTTTCCTGTTGCGGATTTTCCATTTCTAGATAGCAACACCCTGCTTCCCCAATCTATGGTGTTTATATATCGCAGTAAATTGAAACATTGCTTACTCCTCTGAAAACCCTGGTCTTATTCTCATGGTATTTTGCCGGATTCTCGTGTAAATTTCATATTTGTCCTAGTTTTATTGTATTCGTGTTTGGATTATAATTTTGTTCATATGTTGAGGTTTTCTTGTTGTTTCTGGAAAAAGATGATTGTTTGTGAAATATAACAAGCATTTGACTCGATGAGAGAATGAACTAGAGCAACATGACCTCGATAATTTCAATGTTGATATTTTTTGTTTATGTTTATTTATACTACAGCTTTTCTACATATAAGTGAACTCACATGATTCTTATCTGACCAATAATCTTTGTGAGGACCGGAGACCTAAATAACCTATTTTGATCTCTGTGTCGATTTGGTGCCTAAACGGATTGTGATTCCTGAGACCTACGTCAACATTGTTCCTTTGTCTTTGATGCGTTCTGTTACACATGAAACACTGTTCTAAATGTTCGTAAAATAAAATGAGATTTTGTAAATATATAACCTTGATTTTTTTAAATCGTCAATATTGGACATCACTGTTATATTGTGAGTTTGTTTAATACTCACTTTACAATGATCAAATTTCCGTGTTTTTTCTTTCAATTTCATAATTATCATTTTTTTTATCACGTCGTAATTCTGCATCCACGAATTTACCCACTAAAGCATATATCATCCTTTTACTTTTTGGACGGATTTCTCGCTATAGTCTGCTATCACTTTAGGAACAGTGGATATCAGACTGTCAGTTACCCTGCTATCACTTTAGGAACAGTGGATATCAGACTGTCAGTTACCCCGGTATCACTTTAGGAATCGTGGATATCAGACTGTCAGTTACCCTGGTATCACTTTAGGAACCATGGATATTAGACTGTCAGTTACCCCGGTATCACTTTAGGAACCGTGGATATTAGACTGTCAGTTACCCTGGTATCACTTTAGGAACCGTGGATATTAGACTGTCAGTTACCCTGGTATCACTTTAGAAACCGTGGATATCAGACTGTCAGTTACCCTGGTATCACTTTAGGAACCGTGGGTATCAGACTGTCAGTTACCCTGGTATCACTTTTAGGAACCGTGGATATCAGACTGTCAGTTACCCTGGTATCACTTTAGGAACCGTGGATATTAGACTGTCAGTTACCCTGGTATCACTTTAGAAACCGTGGATATCAGACTGTCAGTTACCCTGGTATCACTTTAGATACCGTGGATATCAGACTGTCAGTTACCCTGGTATCACTTTAGAAACCGTGGATATTAGACTGTCAGTTACCCTGGTATCACTTTAGAAACCGTGGATATCAGACTGTCAGTTACCCTGGTATCACTTTAGGAACCGTGGATATCAGACTGTCAGTTACCCTGGTATCACTTTAGGAACCGTGGATATTAGACTGTCAGTTACCCTGGTATCACTTTAGAAACCGTGGATATCAGACTGTCAGTTACCCTGGTATCACTTTAGGAACCGTGGATATTAGACTGTCAGTTACCCTGGTATCACTTTAGGAACCGTGGATATCAGACTGTCAGTTACCCTGGTATCACTTTAGGAACCGTGGATATTAGACTGTCAGTTACCCTGGTATCACTTTAGAAACCGTGGATATCAGACTGTCAGTTACCCTGGTATCACTTTAGGAACCGTGGATATTAGACTGTCAGTTACCCTGGTATCACTTTAGGAACCGTGGATATTAGGCTGTCAGTTACCCTGGTATCACTTTAGGAACCGTGGATATTAGGCTGTCAGTTACTCTGGTATCACTTTAGGAACCGTTGATATCAGACTGTCAGTTACCCTGGTATCACTTTAGGAACCGTGGATATCAGACTGTCAGTTACCCTGGTATCACTTTAGGAACCGTAAATACGGGACAGACTGTCACATCGCATTATAACTATTCCATACCACATTTAAGATTTAACTCCCGGAAACTGCTCGATCTTATATTATCTATCGCTGATCCAGCACACTAGCTCAGGAATACGCAGAACTAAATTCGTATATCGTGTAAGGGTCAATTGACCAAAATCCAAATTGGCCGAAGGAAATGGCAAAAACCGTAATAATAAGTTAAATAACATTAAAACCATGATACCTATCACCTGCTTGATACACTAACATGGTTTCTCTAGATTTTATACAAAACCACGTGATCGGACAAACGGCTCCCACATTTTCACTATCGATCTAGGACGCTGGTCAGTAATGAAGTTTTGTTCACACTGAAACAAAAACAAGAAATAACGTATCATTTTTATATAAAATGACCAAGTCATTAAAAGTGACAAGGGAAAAACAGAGGTGCTGACGAATTTCTTCACTTCCGTATTTATACAAGAATTAGAGGACGACATTCCCAGTGTAGACTGTACTACGGCTAATATAATAGATACATTTATGAAAGATCCCAACAGTATGTTCAAAATTTTGGAAAAACTGAAAACGTCAAAATCTCTAGAACGGATAATCTTCGAATATTAAAAGAATTAACCTCTATCATAAGCAAATCAACGTACATCCATTAAAAGTTCCTTAACACGATCATTGTTACGGCGATTTTCAATCAAGATTACAGATCATCCGGGCAACTGTAAACCTAATAACATAAAACGACACAAATGAACAGAATCATTTAGCACAAATTCGGATAAGACACAGAAGTGCTAAACAATTAAGTAAATTGCATCATGCATCAACGGCTAGTGAAAGGCGAGTGCATTACCACTACGACACCCGACCACCCAATATTTCATCAGATATAGACCCAATTGCTGGTGCTAAAATGAAGGTTTACGTAAGTAGGTGTTAATTGATATCAGTGAAATTGGTAGATTTTGAATGTGTCTTGGCGAACACCAGCGTGAGGTGGAACCCTAGGAAGGCATGAAGGAATGGAACAATACGTTCTAGATCTAACAAATCAGCACCTAAAGATCTTTTCAATTTCTAAGATCTTTTTCGTTCTCTAGGACAATTTCTAGTGGCGGATAAAAAAAAACCAGTCCTTTCATACGGCAGGTCTTTGAAACAATGTGATAAATCGGGATGAAGGGACTCATAAATTCGCGCACAATTGGGACCAGTTTTAGATAAAGTGTAGTCGAAGCGACTTCATACGTGGATAAATCCATTGTTAACACCTAATGTACATGTATATATGAAATACTAGCAATTCCATATGTTTCCACCGTAATCTCGTCGCCGTCCCGTTCATATGACGTCATCCCGTACGTTACATACATACATACATATGTTAAGACACACGTGTAATAAATGAGAGTGTCTCAGCAGTGACCATTGTTTCTGTCCAATTCTTATTACCCAAGTAATAACTTAATAATAATTAATATTATGTGATGATCTGTTACCCGAAAGGGTTGTAAAAAAGGCAAAAAAGAAAAAAAACAAAACAAAACAAAAAAACAAAAACAAAAACAAAACAAAAAACAAAAAAAGAAAGAAAGAAATGACTAAAAATAGCCAGATTGGTATAACGAATCTCTAACAATGTTTTTATTAGATCTCTGTGTGTTTTTCAACATCAAACAACCCATTGATGAAATCAATGTAAACAACAACAAACATGTTCATTGTTATTGTTTATGCTAACAATTTGTATATATAACTGTAATATACCTTCTTGTAACCATGGTAACATTGTGTTCGGGTTCCCAAAGTGTATGGATATTTATTTCATCATTATTATAAATATTTCTAGTTTCGTCGCATTCTTTAAAACATTAAATTTATTTGAGTTAGGAAAAGAAGGGATACTATAAACACAGACAAAAATCATTTATTTTATGAGAAATACATTTGAAATCGATTAATATGTACAGCAAGTGTGAAATTATAAACTGTCGAGGTTGTTATCCTAATAGAAGTAAAGATAAATGGAAGACATTGTTAAGTCTGCATGGTGTCTAACTTAACTGATCTGTTCAATGATACCTTGAGGTAATTAGATTATAAAATGAATCAAAACAACATTAATAGAGAAAAGTCATTAAATGGATTTATTAAATGTTTTCAGATATGTAAATTGTACCTATATATCAATCATATACAATGTACACGCATTACTAAGCGTAGAACTCGCTTGGCAGGAGACACACAGACAGACAGACAACATCACCTGTCATAACCTCACAGACGAATTACGTCATCTCGGAATAGCTTTATTAGAGTTAAATTCACTTTTATTTCACGGAATAAGATATGATCGAATATGACGTTTCGTTTTTCTGAAATTAGTTTTGACGTTATTCACATCGAAGCGTTGGATGGGACGGTTATTACCAAATTTACTTAATGGCGGATTATTGGCTTCCCATGTTTCCAAGTTCATCAAGACCTCGAAATTCTGGAAAGATAAGATATATTCATTCAGAACGGTTTTTGGACTCTTGTTTGATGTATTTACCAGTTAAAATCTACTACACATGTCACAAATCTCGTATAGAAGTGTTTGCCACATTAATAAAATGTGTTACCTGTAACCGAGCGAGATCAGGGGTATCTCAGTCGAGGGCTGAGACCCTGTAACATAGTCTCTACCGAGGCTTTAGCCGACGTTAGGATGTTACAGGACCTCAGCCCTAGGATGGGATACTACGCGGGATATCCCTGTACTCACAAACACCAATTGCTATGGTAATTGATTTGGTTGTTCTATAACATGGTTGCCGCAGATTTTTTTATCATTCTGTAACTTTCTTCTAAACACAATTCGCCACAAGCATCAAGTGAAAATATAGAGACAATCATATTACTTTAATCAGTAGTCTGCTAACCATTGGTTAACATTACATATACATTACAAACAAATTTGATATTCTCTGATAATTACTCAAACTTCGGACAATGTATTATATAGAACAAGGCAGTAAAACCCACCTTCCTACAGACAGTTGTCGGAGTCTTGAACACAATCCACAGGTAATCAGGAGTACAGACGGGCGTTGTCTTAGAGCCAATGTAGGTGTAAAATTTCCCATCCTTGGGTAGTAACCGCTTTGGCTTGACATACGCCTCTACAAATCATTTCATCTTTAATTGTTACTACTTTCTATCAGTTTATACTGTATAAAATATTTACTTAAGCTTTTCCATAAACGTACAACATACATTCTAGCCAATAGATCAATACAAACTTTACTGAGAACAAGTGCTCGTTATTGTTGTGACCTGGTTCTCTATCAACACGATGATTTTATTTAGATAACCTGGATATCTGTACATCAACTTGTAACACATGAAAATACTAATGAACAATATTCTAAACACCAAAGGTAAAGTCTTTATCATCATGAAACAATGAAACACAACACAAAAATCAGCGAAACTATACAAACACAAACCAACTCATGTTCGTCGTAGCATTTGATCAAATAATTGTTTTTAAAAGTCTGTTGCTCATACACCCTTATGATAGTAATATATCTACATGTAAGTATTATTTAACCTATCTGATATATCAATCAAACTATATTACCTGTCTCGTCCAAATAGTTCGGGATTTTAGTTATAAATTTTGATATCATCTTATCTGCATAGCTTCCACATTTCTCCACAACCTGGGTATAAACAAAAAAAAATAGAAAAAAATTCTGTCAGTATAAATTTTCAATACTGGAAATGTCTGAACAGGAGTAGTACATTCAATACACTGCCGGTTTTTCTGTTTTCAATTTGGTATTATAATATAAATATGGTTTATTTTACAACAATTGCAAAACAAGTTGCTAGCTTATATTAATCACTCTTGTTGATCCGGATGGAAGCGTGTGGGTGTCTTACTGTGGGAGGAAACCAGAGTACCGGACGAAAACCCACGTGGTCGGGCAGGTGACCCCATACGTGTTCACGTCCGGTTCAGGAATCGAATCCCAGACGGCTATGTGAAAGGCGAGTACGTCACCACTGCGACGCCATTTGATGATACACAACTTGGAATTATGGTTGATGAATTATATGTTTTTACCACTATATAAAACCATGCTAATTCTTGTAAGGTGTATATATTTGTATACGTACAGGTGTTGTAGGGCGAGGACTTACATTGATGAACTCAGAGGAGGAGGGCGAGGACTTACATTGAAGACCACCCCTAGGAGTGGGAGGAGGAGGAGGAGGAGGAGGAAGAGGACTTACATTGAAGAACACAGGGGAGGAGGAAGAGGACTTACATTGAAGAACACCCTAAGAGTGGGAGGAGGTGGTGGAAGAGGACTTACATTGAAGAACACTCCTACAACCAGAACGTCTTGTCCACCTGTCTTTCCCCCATCGTCTCCAGTAAAAGTCTTCCTCTCGTGTACCAGATGTATCTAATTAAGAAATGTTTGTTTACATTAGATGTTGAAAAGAATGAAATAACACGGGACATTAGAAATCATTATCTATCACTAAATCACTTTAAAGCCCCAATATACGTAACATTCACCAAAAATTTAGTGTAGAATCACACATAATTATTGAGATATTCTCTAAGAAATAGTTAGAATTAAGTTATTCAAACAATAGTTACCATGACTTTGTGCATAAAGTATCGATATATGAGCAGTTGAAACTCGCTATTTGTAAACACACCTCCATTTTAAACACGCCGCCATCGAAATTACGATTGTTGCCGAACCATGTCGGAAAGTTCATGACCTGGTCTCGCGAGAGTTGAGGTTTCTACTTATAGAGGAAGCACATGAAGATATGTCTACAGTAAGATTTTGTTTACAAACATTGTTTGCGAAGTCTTGTCGTAGACTTGAGGTATTCCTGTGATAAACATTCAGTTTTTGGGAAATTATTAGAAGGAATAATTAGTTTAGAAACGATACGACGTACAATTATAACGTAAAAATTCAGAACTGGCCTGATGTATGATTGGAAAAAAAGGAAGCGACTGGTGAACGTCTGTACTGTGTCTGCCATGTTTACACACGCGGAATATGCGCATGCACAATGTCATCGCTACGAGCGGTAATGTATGAATTATTGTGGGTCCCATATTGTTTATTTTCCGATTGTTTTAATTTTTATTTAAATTGAAAACAGTCAGTTTTATTTTCTTTAATTAAAGGAAAGTATTTGTTTTGTTACATATATTACGGGGAAAATAAGATAAAGTTTGTTTTTCGTAGTGATTTTACGTATATTGGGGCTTTAATACTTTCTTTCAGTATCACAAGGCCAAGAACCACTATAAACATGTTTGATCAAAATATACAGCAGAAGAAACATGCAATGAAATTACAATTTCAAAAGGAACATGAAGTTTTTTAATCGCAAGAACACCTCTTAATTCGTCATTCATCCTTCTAGGGTTCGTTAGAGACGTTTCAAAACTGCTGATTAATTTCAAACGCCAAATACATGTATGTATTCTAAACCATGCCATTTTCCGGATAAATGAAAACTTGAAATGAAGATTACGGCAAAAAGACAACAAGAAAACACCAACATATCAACACAATAATAATCCACATTAATATTCAATAAAGCAAGGGAGAAATATTTACAGAAGAAAGATTTAAGCGGAAACCAGGTGTTCCGGCAGAGTAAGCATCTTCTGCCTCATCGATGAAATCCACCTTGGAAACTTTGGTCAATCCAAGTAAGTAATGTCACGTTCTCAAATGAGAACAGGGTATACAACAACGGGACCAACAGATAAAACTAATGAGCATCAAACACGTTCAGCTCAATACCGCACAAAGAAATTAAATTTTCGCAATGAGATCACTATGAAAAAAACTTCCCTATAATGTTCTTTAACCTGAATCTTTTGAAACCCTCCGTAACGCGTGTGTTCGTCAGTTGACTGCTTCCACGAAAACCACGATAATTGGAAAAGGCCAAGGAATATTGACTCGACATCAACATGTAAACACCATATGTTTGTGTGCAGGGATGTTGCTATCCAGAAATGGGAAAAAATCACAATAGGGAAAGTGAAATCATCACGCTTATCATGCATATAACTCAAAAAATTTCCATGTTGGTTTTGTAGTAGGAAGAGATTAAGATAAGCAGGTGATGCAGAAGAGTCTGTTGTGTCCTTGATTTCCAATTCTGGTGGGTATATACGATTGGACGTGATCAATGATTTGTTAATTATTTAACGCCCAAAGTCAATAACATATGTGAAAGTAAAAACGGAGGACGTTGGAAAGTCATTGTGGCATGTTTTGATAAGCTCTTCGACAAATTTAGAAAATATAATTCAGTCACCAAGGAGCAAACCTCTGAGACTTACATTAGAATGAGACATACCGGGCCTATGTGATAATCTTAAAGAAAAATGATCTTTACCTCGCCTTTGTAGCCTTTCATATTTACAACGTGCTCCGATCCATACGACGATTCATTTGATCCAATATGGTAGTGGAATTCTTTGAATACATACGAGGTGCCATCGTCGTCGTCATCCTCCCTACCGACAATCAGTATATTTGTTTTGGGATGTCCATGGACTTCGAAGTTTGGTGCAAAACCTTATAAGATATTATGTGAAATGAGTCGTTCAGTATTTCTAATCGGTGGTAATTTTTTTGTATAATATCATCGTTTTCAGCAGATATAGCCGACAGAATTGAAATTATCATTATTATTAGGAAAGTATTTATTATATAAAATAGCTCCGACTTGTGAATTAAAATTCAAACTCTAAATAGACGAAACCATGGTACAATATGAACGAAAGAAAGACTTCCACCCATACCCTCGAAATAGTACAGGAAAATAAAACAATATGTTCCGGAAGGTCAAGCGTCTTCATTGTCATATAAATATTTATATTAAAACATACACGTCACTTGATGAGAACAAGGTCTACTATAACGTTGATTGTAATTTAACCTTAAAGTTTTGAGGAATACGTTACCATTATTCTCAAATATTCCGTCTACTGTTTTCGACCGTCTATAATAAACACGGTTGATGTTTGCTCGCTCGGTTTTACCAGTCTGGATATTAATAGGGCTTTGCTTGTCACCTCCACATAACGGATACTTTTTATGCCAGTGTTGTGGACCTGCAATGTATTTTTGCGTTGTTAACTCGGATATTTTAATATTCAATTTTCGAGAATTCTGAAGAAACAATGACATTTAGTGAATGAAAACTCTACGGTGGTGTTAACAGGAAACTATATAAATCATCAATCTTGTCTGAATATTAATCTCGCATGTACAACTTTGCTAAGGACAACTTATTGTATTTTACGTTCAACATATTTCTCCCATACTTCACAAGGTTATCCTCGTTTTGAGTAGGGAAAGATAAATCTGTCCCGGCAAGCCTCGAGCTATCAACTTTGAAAAATACCCCTCGGTTTGAGATAACCCTGTCTATAATACACAGGGGTGAAAGATTCTATTAATCTTGTACATGTATGTATACCTTACCTTGTAAGTCTAGATCCTATACTATACATACACGATAAATCAAACTGTGACCCTTATACGCCGCCGTAGTTCATGTTAGTAAAACATTAGACACTGTAGTTCATACTACTGTATATATCTGACATCAAAATGCATTGTAAAAGTATGAGTGCATACAGAATCCGTTCTTTTGCGAAGGACACTCAAAAAATGTATCCGTACAGCAACAGGTACATGATATGCCAAATAATAAGATGTAACGATATTTTGGAGCTTTTTTTCCCTGAAAGATGATAAAGTAAGGAAACCAGGCAAAGAAATTCAGCTGATCTAAATCGACCTTAACATTATTCTTAAACAGTTCAAACAATGACACAGCTGATCTAAATCGACCTTAACATTATTCTTAAACATTTCAAACAATGACACAATTGTGTCTATTTGATTTGAATGAATATTAAATGACAATGTATATTTCACACCGCGGAACTATCTGTAATAATAATATGATGATGTTAATATGTCCGAATGCGTTAGGATACTATATATAGATATATAATAGTCGATGCATCTTAAGGCGTTTCCAGAGACAAACGTAATAAACGTTTAAGGATAAAAAAGACCCACAAATAAATAGCAAAATTCTATACAAAGGATGAGATACAATGGGGCAAACCGATGAGGTAAACTGAACCATACATCTGTTTCATCTTCTAAGACTCTACATTGATGCTATGAGCCTAACATTTGAAGCATAGGAGGTGACTGAGGAAAATCCAAAGTAATCGAAAGAATAGTCTAACCCGACATAGCGGGGTGCACTAATCTCATAATTCAATCAAATACGTAATTGTCATATATCTGATAACTCTAGAACAAACATATAAGGGAATTACACATTAGGCGTTAGACACGTGGCAACAACATAAATCTTACTGATGGTATGATGGTTTCATTTGAGTTATTGATTCACAAATAATCGAACCGTGTGTGTTGTTGTTGTTGATGGTGGTGTTGGTAGTGATGGTAGTGGTGGTGGGGGTGAGGAGGAGGAGGAGGAGGAGGAGGAGGATGGTGTTGTTGTTGTTGAGTTGTTGTTGATGATGGTGGTGGTGGTGGTGATGATGATGATGATGATGATGATGATGATGATGATGATGATGATGATGATGGTGTTGTTGTTGTTGTTGTTGTTGTTGTTGTTGGTGGTGGTGGTGGTGGTGGTAATGAGGAGGAGGAAGATTTTGTTGTTGTTGTCTGTCTGTGTAAAATATGTAAAATTTAATGCGTTTAATATGTGTGATTCACCTCGACATCAGGAAAATAAAATGTCTGAATAACCATGTCTGAAGTGCCACTCAGCTGTCCAAAATTACAGCCCCTCGTGACAGTTCTAACCTCACCGAGGCGGGTCAAAATTTGTATACTTGAACAAAACTAATATAATACATATCTATCAATTTATAAAATTAAGAACATCATCCGGGCCAGACAATGAAATTTAAATATAATGTGGTTCCAGAAAAAAAAAATACAAAATTTGAAAGTAAATATTTTGTTGTGGCTATTTACAATATGTATATTTATACAGTATCACGAAAAGGTGTAGTTTAGGTCAGTTGTGACGTTGTAGATATATACAGGTAAGTTGTCCTTGATGACATTTGACGTTCCTGTTCGTCATACCGTAAAGTCGTTTGGACAATTCAAGGACATTCAGATACATGCAATTTTATTTAACAACACGCACGAATGAGAAAAAGCTGGATATGACGGTAGTGTCAACGTAGGTTTGTCACTAAGACAGCTGGGCGACTCAAAACAACATGTTAAGGAATAATAATTAATTTGCGCATGTAAGCATTATTATAAACTGTAAATTAAAAAGGAGCGCCAAAAGGATGAGGTTATATGTTCATATTCTATAATTCTCTGTTAGAAGACACCTTGCGAGCTTTACATTGAGTTAAACTAAAACATACGATAGAGATTTTAGACAAAATCAACATTAACACTTATTATAACATATATTGTTAAAAAAAAGGAAAATATAGACAGGTAAACATGAAACATTAAGCATCTTAATTCAAATTCAAATTCGACGAAACTAGAGCATAAATATGAACAAAAGAAAGATTTACACGCAGTCTGAAAAAATATATGGAGAAAGATACAAAAATAAAGTATGTGCGTTATGAACATTCATTTACACCTGTATTTAATTAATAAGATGACTTCTACCATTTTTTGTGTTGAAAACGTTTTTCATTGTCAAAAATAACCTGTCTGTTGAGGAGTGAACGTGTGCTCTGTAAATACACCACATTATTAACGGCTTTATTAAACGGTTTGGAGACAAGATGCGTTTTAGCGTTTCTTTTTATAAATTGCCCAAGGAATACTGGATGTATAACTCTAATAAGTAGCTATAGATGAAAGTTAATGAGGCTATATATATATATATATATATATATATATTAAAATGTTGTAACTATTTGGAAAACTATTGAATTTATCAATTTGTAATAGACCACTACTAATCTGAGGCGACATTGGAGTTTAGTTTATAGCTATCAGCTAAAACGTATTAAGTCATCGAGTATAGAGCCAGCGCAGAGAAATGGTTTATTGTACTAGTATATATGCGTTCAAATGACAAAAATACAAATAAAAAGTCTGAATTTATGTTTCCTAATGTAAATTATAATCTATTACATTCAGTGAAGGCATAGAGAAGTCCTATGATTAAACATGCATTGTACATAATCGGCAAAATGAAAATGTTTTATAGAAGTAAATGTCTTACCACATGGTGAATTTGGATTGTAACTGAAGAAACCGGTAATGGAGGGGCACTTGTTCCACTGGTCGTCCTTTGATCCAGTCACACTCTGATAAAAAGAACATTCTACAACACTTAACAAACTTACAGAAATGAGAAACACAAGAGAACACATAATGAGAAGATGAAACGTCAGCTTTCACACACAACTATAGGACCTTATATAGTTTAGAAAGCAGTATTATTTGTTTTTAGACACTCCCACTCCGTTTGTTTACAATTGATTGACACATAAAAAGCATGTGACATGATGTTGTTATCAGGTCGGAATCGTCAGAACCGAGGATTGTCTAAAAAATCTGTTCTTTTGTATACATGGTGATCTGTTTAAGTCACTACCATCCATACATTATAGAGGATCATACATCCTGCCGACCTGTAATAAAAATCAGCATTTTATTAATTCACTTACAAATAGTTAACATCATAACAATACTCCAATGTTGTGTATTTATTGTTCTTATTGTGTCAGTAAGGTGGTGTTAAATTAACATATGCATGTAAAGTGAATTTAATGAAATAGAAACAAATTCTAATCAAGACTTTGTGTGGTACAGGTATCGACAATAAACATCAGATGCTACATGTTGTATTGTTTCCAATCTGATATTTTATTGATGATTAATTTATTCATTTTTTTTCAATTTTTCGTCGTTGTTTATAAATCTACCTGTCGTATTATTTATAATTCAAATTCAAAGATGTCATATTGCTCGACCGTTTTCATTCATTAAAATTCACGTTTGATATTTATATGTTGCTACACTAGATCGAACAAATGTTAGATACTGCAGGATATTTGTACAATTCTGATACAGGAAACTTTGATCATAATTGTCAGTTATTTACTTTTGTCTATATATCAATTCTTTTTTTCACACGCAATTAACATGCCCAAATTATTTCCATCTCTTAAAGGTAGAAACGCTGTATGAAAACCCCATATTTCGGACCCATAACTTAGAATGCTATTAACGTATGTGTCAAAGATCGATAATTGGGTTTTAATATTAAAATATTTTTTACGACACACGTCTAACACTGCAAATAAAGCTTTTCTTTCTTACTCCTCGATTTTTTGTCGAGTTTTTTCTAAAGATTCCATTACAATTAAGTAACATACCCAAATAATAAAAATCATTTACAGCATCTAATTGACACCAGTCATATTTCTAGGTTTCGTCATTCCTCAAAATGCCAACATTTCGAAAAACCAGATTTTTAGTTTTACTTGTACTGACAGTAAAGTCCTAGATTTCTGCGTTAGAGGTCTGTTATACACAACGATAGCGATTGTAATGAGAAAATGATATCTTCTACCGTATAAGGTAATAAATACTTGTACATTGATAAAACTGGAGGCTTTTAGAAGCAATCCTTGGAAAGGCACAATCTTCGCAAATATATAGCTGCCTGTTAAATGCCCGAGTATGATTAGTTTTGTACATAAGGTGACATAGCTTCGAAAAGACATCGGTGTTAATTATACACTTCTATTAAATAAACATTAAAATGACAAATTTTCACTAAACAACAAAATATGAAGGATTGTGTATTGTCCAAATGATTGATTTATGCATTTTAATATAAATTTTGTAAAAACAAAATATATCAAAACAAGTTGACTTTTCATGTACAAAATTTCAAATGAATTTAAACACAAAATGTCTAATACGTACCTGCCTCTCACGAATAATTACGTATTCATATTCCGTTGAAATTTCATATTCGAAAATATTTTGATTGTTGTGAAAGGATTTTTTCTCAATTGATATAACCATGGTAATTATCATTATCATTCATTAAGATATGAGACCTAATGACATTGAGTGTGCGTTACATTTGTACAATGAGTGTAGATGTTAATATATATATAAGGAAATCACACGATGAACATCACGTTTTCATCACATAGAAGTCACGTGTCCTTTACTATATACACCTATTTATAAATTGTATATCAGGATCTAAGTGAGATTGTCCAAATCTTGTGAAGATCCTGAATCGAGAGATTTACCTTTTGGAAAATTGTTTAGTTGTCAGACTGGTGCAAGGGAGACAATCATTTGAAAGTCAGACCAGCGACCCATCCTTTACGTTAGTGTGGGACGGGAGATCAGTGTGGGACGGGAGATCAGTGTGGGACGGGGATGCAGTGTGGCTCTATAAACCTTATAATTTATCATTAAAAAATATAGTAATAAGTTGGTATGTAACCCTGTCGGCAAAGTAGACGTATATACAGTTTTACAATAATAATTCCTTACCGAGTATATTGTATATCAAGGTGACATTGTCAGTAGACAATGCGTAAACCTGTAAAGAGATAAGCATAATTGTTCATGTCATAAAGACATTTTCAACCATAAAAATTGGTTTTCGTTTTTAAAAATTTATGTTCGGACAAATATTTTAAAGTTAGGGTTTCAATAAGCAAAGGATGAGGTTTGGGGTGAGGGAGCAAACTTCAATCTATTGATGTACCGAGGTATCTCTCGGCAGGTATATGAGAAATGACTGTTTGTTTCAGTTTCACGTTTTAGTCGTCATTGATTGATTGAATATTTACTGTTCCGCACGCAATACCTTCATCAGAATTTTCTTCGTTCAGTCTACTGCAATTTGTACGTTCTAGTTTTATATGAACTGTCAAGAAAAATATCAACACCTTCATTAATATGTTGCCACTTGTGCACTGGACTTGAAAGTCTACAAAAGATAAAACTTGATTTATGTATCTTACTGAGTGAGTTTCCGCACTGACTACGTAGTTAAAAACTGGTAATTATCAAACACGTGCTGAACCCATGTCCATTCCACTCGCTGTAACAATGTCCGTCATAATAGATTAAATATCTGCACATGTGTATCATTCGCTTCTTACCAATAAGCGCATGCTGCTGTTGCCTGGAAACTGGATGTTTATCCTAAACCACTACGTCATACATAAATTATATTGTATACAACCAATCACATCGTAAACTGTAGGTTCCCGTAAACGTTTTGTTTTGGTTTTTTAGTTGACACGTTTTCATTAGAAATAAGAATAAGCCCTTTACCGCAGAAAGTGTAAAGGAGATATCAGCTTGGATGAAAACAATGAATATGTACAAAAACACATCAGTGACTAGAACCGTTGATACAGTGATATGGTGGGTGAAACTAAATCAAATGATGAACTATCATGGTTTACATAAGGAGGATAAACAAATCAACTACAAACAGATGAAAAGACAGAAATAATTTTACCCAAGGACATGAAATGAATTTTGATTGCCTCCCTTTCGTTATGGATTGAAACTATAAATTTAAAGCATCTGTCTGTATAATTCTTGGTGGCTGTCCTTCCCCTCCCAAACGCAATACACAAATTGTATGCATACTCATCTTCCTATGGAAATAATTTGATATTGACAATTACTCCCCAGCACACACGCTTTTGGGATTGACCGCTAGACCTGGTCATTCTATGATAGTAATTATCTCCCTTGCTCCTTTAAGACAAATCCTCTGTTCTCGTTACATGATCTACCATCATAAGCATTTCATCAATTCATTTGATCTTTACGAGATTTGTTTAATTGGGACAATATCAGTATATTACAGATATAGCGTATACACAGCTTATATATATATAAGTATAATAGCTAAAAATATTATCACGCTTGACTTCTATACTAATATCAAGACTGGGTACTCAGTATCAAGCATAGTACTCATTCTGTAGACATATCTACTATCGGGCCTGATTTCTATATAATGTAGACTTAGTACTCATTCTATAGATATCAATACTATCGAGTCTGATTTCTATATCATGACTTAGTACTCATTCTATAGACATAAATACTTAGTTTAAATCAATTTTATTGCAAACAAAATACCACAGGATTGGACAAAAGTTATAACAACTTACTTACGCCCTTTCCATAACAAATTAAAACATACAAATTAAGATAGTCACGAAATAGCCTTGGAACATTTCATATCATTTAGTTAAAGATAGGCTTAAAAATTAAAACATACAAATTAAGATAGTCACGAAATAGCCTTGGAACATTTCATATCATTTAGTTAAAGATAGGCTTAAAAATGAGAAAAAGAAAACAAAAATGGGGTAAAGAGGGGGTTAGGGGTTGGGGGGTTGGGGGTCACCGACGGGTAATTCTGTGGTTTCGGTAACTGTCAATTCCTAATCCAGTCGGCAAAGAACTGACGCTTTACTGTACACACATTGCGTTCTAATTATCTAAAATGTTCAGTCACATCCCATGCCTTAGTTGTCGTTCTCCTGGATCACTCCTTGTCCGTCTACGATACCGTACTCTACCTGCTTTGCCGACAAGGGTTTTGGTAAAATATGAATATTTTACGAAGTATGTATTAAATAAACATTATAATTATATAAATAAAACAATGCCGTCGGTGTTGGGAGGAAAGGATGAAACTGGATGAATGGAAGGGGTGTGGGGAAGGGGTAGTTTTGACATACTAGGTGTCCTGGTTATCGATGATTAAATGTTAAAACGTTTAGAACTAGATATAAATTATTGTACAGACCTACAGATGACAATATTTTTTGTTAGTATCGAGATTTTCGTCCCCAAATAGAAGGTGTTCCACAGTTATTTCGTTGTACCAGTAAAGAGACTGAAGCATTATGTTACTTAATTTATCAAAGTTGTTACAGAAAAGCAAGTAATGACTAGAGTCTTCAGGATGATGTCCGCAACTGCAAGAAGAATTGGGTCGAAGACGTGCTTTGTAAAGATCATAATTTAGAGAGCTGCTTCGGTTGCGGAGTTGGCAATGTATTATATTTACTTTTCTAGGCCCGTACTCAAGAAATGATATAATATTTGTAGGGATAGTAAGATGAGGTAGAAGAGTTTTGAATTGTTTGGTAGAATCAGATGACTTAGTTTCGATAGGTAGAGTATTCCAGGAGTCTGAAGTGCTTGGTATAAAGGATGAATGTGTAAGTTGAAGCATATAGAGTGGAGTTTGGAAGTTATTTCTGTTTCTAAGATTGTAATTTGTAGAATTTGACATAGTAGGTGGTAGTAGAGATTTTAGATATGAAGGAGCATCATTGTGAAAAATATTATAAAACATAGATAACTTCCTAGTTTTACGTCTATCCGCCAATAATTGCCAGCCTAGCTCCCTGTAAATAAATTATTTTAATAAGTACTGGTAATCCTGTAATTATGCGACCTGCTTCATACTGAATATTTTCTAATTCATTTGAAAGAGTGGTATTGCAATTGTCCCAAACTTCACAGGCATATTCAAAGTGTGGTCTGATGAAAATAAGATATATTTATAAGTTTTTTTTTTCTGTTCAAGATGTACTTAAGTTTCCTAAGTGTTGCGATGTATTCAGCAGTTTTTGTCAAAATGTCATCAATGTGAGAGTTCCAAGTACCATTGCTGTTTATAACTACTCCTAAGTGTTTGTGTTTGTTAACGATAGGAATGGGTGTGTTGTCAAAGAGAAATTGTGGGTTAGAAAGTATATGTGTGTTAGAAATCAGGAGTATTTCAGTTTTAGTTGGATTGAAGCTCATTAACCATTTTTGAGACCAAAGATTCGGCTGTTCCATGTCGTAGTTTATTACCTGTTTTAGATCGTGTAAATGTTTAGAAGAGTATGCTAATGTAGTATCGTCAGCGAAAAGTCTAGTAATAGCCAAAAAAGTGTTTGAAATATCGTTAATGTATACAAGTAAGAGAAGAGGGCCTAGAACAGAACCTTGGGGAACCCCGGCTTTAATACATACTTCTCGAGAGACAATATTTTTTAAGGACAACTGACTGACGTCTGTTGCTTATATAGTTTTTTATCCATTCTAAGACTTTACCCCTTATCCTGTCTTTTCCTAATTTAATTAACAAACCTTTATGTCAGACTCGGTCAAACGCTTCAGAAAAGTCACCAAAAGCAAGAGCTGTAGATTCGTGATTCTCTAGCGCTAAAAGTATATTATGGTAGAATTTAATAAGTTGGTGAGTCGTAGAGTGATTTGGCAAGAAGCCGGATTGTAATTGGTATAGAAGATTATTAGTGAAAAGATAGTTATAAAGATGTTTACGGATTATTCGTTCAAAAAGTTTGCCAATGCAGCTAAGTAAAGAAATAGGTCTGTAGTTATTTGCCAATTCAGGAAAAACGGAAGTACGAAACGATTCGTTGAATAGAAGTGTAAGAGGTGCAGCTATTTCACTAGATATCATTTTTAACATTTTATGACTTATGCCATCGGGAACAGCTGTTTTGTTAATGTCTAGAATATTACTAGTGTCTAAAACATCTTGTTCTGTTATTTCAATACCAGTAAGAGAAGAGTCAATTGTAAAGTTAAAGTAGGGTCTGACGTCATCGGGGTCATCATGGTCAGAGACAGATGTAAAGAAGTTATTTTAAATAGTCATTGTTACAGTATGTCCGATACGAAAGGATAGAACGGCAACGGACATGAATGTGGTAAGTATAACGGATTTCCATATCATGAGTTATATAAATATGGTTTTGTACACCAGACGCGGACGGAAAGACTAAAAACGGCGATAGACAAGAAAGGGGTCAGGAAAAATAATTTCCGATTTAATTCACGACTTGTTTGGATGTAAATATACGTCCGAAGTCGGAGTCTAAGACTAGAAACGGTTTCGGACAGCGATAGTTAGCTGGACCGTGAATGGCACAGCTAGGTGTGTATGAACGGAATTTTCATTAAGACATCCCCGATTGTTTGTAACCGCAAAAAAAAATGAAGACATTGAATTAACCACAAATAATTATTTAAACAATGGTGAGCATGGGTGTTCAATTAAAAAGAACGACCACTACAACACTTCAAAAAATGTGGATGAACACAAGTACAAACATGGGTTATAATACAATCTATCGTAAGTATAGACATTATTTAATTAATGTTTCATTAGCAAACGTTACAAATGTGCAGTCGGGAGAATCTGGGGTTGATGGTCGGGTGGTACAAGAGATTGACCGGATGTGGAGTTTTCAAGTTTTGCAATACATTGCTGTGAATGGATTTCTATTTTGCCGGAGGTTGCTGTTTTTTTGCAATAGATGCGGCCTTCTACTGTCCTGAAGGAGTAGTTCTTACCATCTTCGCGTAGCTTGTTGAGGGCCGAAACCAATGTCTGTCTTAGTTTTGTAAGGCTCCCTGTGATGAGGATGTGATCTCTGTGAGATTCCAGACGAAATCTACTCTCGTAGACACGTTGTCTGTCGGAATAACGAACGAATCGCGCGATGACAGTAATTCTATGGTTTTTAGGTGTTCCGATCACATGGGCTCTTGAAATATCGTTACTGTCGATATGGACTCCGATGTCGCTAGCTATCGACGTAACTACGCGGTATGAGTCGAGTTCTTTGACTCCCCTCCGGAATTGGTACGTTGTGGAATTTTAACGCTGTCCGTCGGGAATACTGTTGTAGTTCCCTGAGTTCACGCTGTGTAGTAGCTAATTGAGTTTTGGTCTGTGTAAGTTTATCGTTTTGTCGTTGGATAACATTTTGTAGAGGGGAAACAACCGCGTCCAGTTTACGTTCAATCTTATTGTTTAAGTGTACGTTGTTGGCCATAAAGTTCATTTATAGTTGATTCTATCTGCGGCTTGGCGCGTTCCACAAGGATATTTTCAATTATTGAAGATACAATAGAAGCAACTGCGGGTACCAATGCACTTACGAGTTTATCTAGGAATTTAGGCGAATACATGATATCTAGCACTGGACGCAACCCAGGGCCGATGTACGGGGTATCAGTGGAGGGGTCTGGAGATTTCTCGGGTAGTTTAATCACGTTAGTTTGAGAACTCAATAAAGATTCACCAGTAGGACGTTTGGGTTGTGTAGATAGATGATCATCGAGAGATATAGGGCTACACAGTCCTTTACGTCTAAGGTCACTGTTCATCATATTGGACACTGGTGAGCAATACATGACTGCCTGGTGTTTGGTAATAACTGGAGTATCAAAGTTATTAGGAGTATTGGATTTTGAGTTTGACATGATAATTGATAAATATAATGTAAAAGTTCTCTCGTCACAAGGATGTGTATCAAAAATTTCACCAGTACGAATAGGTCATACCTGTATGTAACTGAATATAGCACCGGGTAACAAAGGAGTTCAGCAGAATGTCACAAATAATCACTTTCATGACGATTATCACACAAAATTTATCAACACGACGATTCCATGACCTACTTGACATATTCAGGACTTTTCCCATTGTCTATATAATTGGCGTTAAATCATGTATATGTACACCCGCGTTTCACACCTGGCCAGCACTCTTCGACCATCACGTGAACACGATCTGGCCTGATTTCTATATCATGGTGACTTAGTATTGATGCTATAGATATGAATAAATTATAGGATATGACTTCGGTATTACGGATACTTACTAATGATATATTTCACAATAAATATCTACATTTGTTATACAACCATAATCTGTTCTCGATACGTTAGTAAGTTTCTTATGTAAAAGAGTGTGATTATTAAACACCTGACAGTTTGCAAATCTGAAATTTTTAACATTCAGAATTTAATTTCCCTTTTCCTTAAAATTTATTTACATTACTACCAAGTAAACTGTATATATTAATTGTTTAAGGGATTTTTTTTCTAGAATTAACGCATTTGCACAACAAACACGTGACTGAATATTTTACTGAAAGGTTTTGGACATTTTGTTTAAATACTTGTCATATTCAATCAAAAAGATAGTCAGATCTACGCTTCTGTAACATTTAACATTGCAGATTCACATATTAAAGCTCCCGCATAAAATTAAAAATCCACACGTGAAAAAAAGACCTTGGTTATTCCATTCAATTTCACTTTTATAAAAATAAATGTATTATGTCTGTAGATACGTGGAATTTAATCGTCACTGCCGGACACAGTCTATTGTCCTTTCAATGCTGTTACCGTCGCTAGTGGACTTTTCTTCCTACTTGACATAACTACAGAAAGAGACGATTAATTGACTATAACGAAAAGCGTCTGTATCCTGTAGCCATCTTTATTTCTACTGCAGATGTGTTACATGTTAGTCAACACATACAATCAAGGAATCCCCGGTAACTACATCATTCTGGTGATGTTTGTAATACTGACATCTAGAGATATTGTTACATCTGCCAATTCCTTAATTTCACTTTAAGGTACATGTTGACTACATATCGTACATACCTACCAAAGTTACCAGTTACGGACACGACATGCACTAGTATTTCTCTTCATTAGACGCTTAATTCGATCTTTCGTTGTGAAAAAGCAAACAGCGACAGTTTTCCAACAAGTTTTATGATTATCGAGAAACTTATATATATATCAACATGCCAAAGGTATTTTTACACAAACCAAAATGAGGTGAAACTAAAGCAATATATGAACATGAGAGAAAGTCTTATAAGGAGAATAACATATCAGAATATTTTTGACGTTCGTGCAGAGTTACCTCCCCGCACGGAGCTTTCCTACTTGATTTTATTTTTATGTAAGCATGGCGGGTATTACGCGCACCTCACGGAAAGAAATTGCTTACAGGGGAACTGTGGTGAGTTCTTATGCGTAAGTAATAGTTCTTTTTGTATTACATTAATATTATTTAATTGATGAAATGGTGCTTGAGCTGTAGTTTTTAGAGATCGCGTAGTATCGTTGTAGAATTTTATGGAAGCGCACTGCAACCGGTGCAAGGGAAATTTTAACCCATTTAAACATGCCAAGAGAATCATTTAGCAAAAGTAATTTTAAATGTTAATTATTAACAGGGATAATATCAATTTTATTTTTATTTATTTATATATATTTGTTTATTTTTTATTTATCGAAAAACACATGAGGAATAAATAGATTCATATATACTATCAGTCTATAACTCCCATCGTCACACACTTACAGAGTATAGTCATGCATCATTTTCACCACTAAACACACAGCATTTTGAGTTGCACACTATATCTTAACTATCATAGACACTATGTAACACAATCACTCTAAACATATATTTATAACTTGCAGCCATACTAGCACTCCAGCATTGTTTCATATACAAACAACATCAGCATCTGACATCAACGTCATCATATACAATCATCATCCTCGTCACACATTAGCATCATCATATACCATCAGCATCATTATGGTCACCTATCAACATTAGCATCATCACACTTCAGCAGCATTACACATCCGCATTATCACATACCAAATCAGCATCGTCACACCTCAACATCATCATATATACCAACATCAGCAGCATCACACATCCTCATTATCAGCTTCTTCACACACTTTAACTTCCATGCATAAGGATGCTGCAGATTCTTAGACACAGTCAACATCATTATCTTCATCATCAAGCACACATAGACATGCTAATTTCAGTAATTTCTCCATAAACTAGTATGGACTCATAATAAGTGAGCAACTGACAGCTGTCACTATATCACTATAAGATAAATGTTCCTAGATATAATGAAATAGACAAATAAAAAACAAAACATGTGATGATTTTTTTTATAATTCTTTAAACAGCAGACAACTATTAGCTGTTAATAATAAATGTAAATCAATATCAGAAATACTGTCAGTTCTTACCATTGCTTGTGAAGTGATTGATTCTAAGGTGACCGATAAGGCCCATGGGCCTCTTGTTTCTAATCTTAAATCAATTTTTCAATGTATTTTTATGCACAATATGCGTACCTCAAGTGATTTTGCTTATTATTTTAGATTTATGATCTTTACATTTATTTACTTCTTTTTTTTGTTTGATATTTATGTATTTTATACATCCGTCAAATGACAGGACATATTATGGTATTCTCGTCTTCCATCCGTCCATCTTCCGTCCGTATGTCCCTCTGTTCGTAAACATTTCAATGTCCCAGCGATTTTGGAATTTATTAAGCCTTAACAGATTTCTTTTAACTTTCATTGCAAGCTTAAGTACAATCAAAGCTAGATTGAGTTTGATTTCCATGATTTTTGATCCACAACTTTTAGAGTTACGGCCCATTAATGTCTGTAACCTTTTCAATGTCGGTGCAATAACTTTGCAAAGTATTACGCAATTACCATTGAAACAAATGCAATATATTATATACAGCATAAATAGTGTAGGTGATAGTCAGACAAAATCACAGGCGTATTTCGTGACCTGAAACAGGCTCTTGTTTTTTTTTTTTTTTTTCGTGTGACAAATTAAAATGATTGTTCAATATATGAATATTGTCAGCATTCCATTATACCTTCATAGATCCCTATTAGGATAAACTGACGGGACAGAGCTTGTTTGTTACACTATCAGAATAATGTAAATCACTCATACTGGTGGAGGAATTACAGTGATTCTAGCATTAAGTTGTATGGTTGCCAATTTATTTGCAGATAAGTCAATACCATTATTACTATTGCAGCCATGGTCTTTTGATGGCGTCGTTAACTTCACCTTGTCAGAATATCCTAATGGGGCAATATTTTGTACATCATGTGAGAAAAAAAAGCATATTTACAAAATTAATAACCAGAAGTAGCAAAATCACAGGGACTTTTCGAAATTATTTTTATTATCTTAATTATCTAGACAAGCCATTGTGGCTACATATAAATATGCAAGTGTTTCTGACTTCGTTTTAAATAAAAAAAATAGTTGTGGAGTGATGGCTTTTGATAATGGATATATGTATATCTAGTTTTGATATATGCTTTATTTGACAAGGAATGTCAATTTATTGTTGTTAATAAAGTTACTGTTTCAATTTTGTTGTCATTGGTCCGTTTTTCCTTGGCCCGGAACTATTTCTGAAGGCGTCTATTTGCATCAACACTGCATCGTCATGCCGGTAATTACGGGCTTAAAATAGATTTTCTGTTGACCAATTTCATTTGACAGATGGGATTAAATCCCTAATGCGTCATATCGAGCGTAATAGCTTATTGGATAAATATTTATAGCAACCTATATTGAACTTGGGGAAACCCGTTCGTCCGCCATGGTGTTTCACGTTGTAATAGCAGCAAGCTGCAAGATGAACTCGAGTAATTTTACGGATGTTTCCTTTGATTGCTTTTCATTATAACTACTGGAGCATGCATAAAACATCCTTGTGTCGTTGTCACGAAATGTAATAGATGTAGCAACAACCATTTGTACCTTAACTTTAATAAAAACATGCCAAATGTCGTATCTTTCTAATGGGAAGCCTGTTACGACGGAGATGTGAAGGGGACGTAACTCTTGGCGAACGACTACTATGTTCTGATATGGACCAGACGTTCTAGAAGGGTAAACGTCTTCTGCTTCACCGATGATACCCGCGATGTAAATCAATCCAAGTCACCATTGTCATGTTCTCGAATGAGATCATTTCAAACAATAACGGAGCCACCAGGCAACTAAGAATCACCACACACGTCTTACTGCATCACTCATAATACAAGAAAATAAAATGACTTCTCAATGAAATCACTCTGAAGACTTGTATCTATCAACACTCTGTGTTATGTGTTTGTCTGGCATTTTCTGATATCTTGAATGAAAGTCATGATTTTTAGAATAAGACATTGAATATCGAATCAGCTGTGACACATGCAGCAGGTTGGTGATTCAGGATTGAAAAAAAAATCCAAATAGAAAATAAAAATGATTACGTTTATCGCACAGCTTGGTGGAAAGTTGTTCATGTTGATATAATTGTATGAATAGCGCGAGGTAGGCGGATGATATAGAAGAATTTGCTGTGTCCTTATGTTTAATACTGCTGGGTATATACAATAGAAGTGGTCAATATATTTTTTTAATATTTAAAGACAAGACGTCATCAATTTATATGATTGTGAATTGAAGGAATTGGCAAGGTATCTATGACCTGTTTTGGTAAGCTTTTCAACAAATTCAGTCTCATAACGCCAAACTCAACAAAAATATTTTCAGTCCGAATTCGATCACTTTAATGATATCATCCTCTGTATATTTCTGCTAGGAATCG